TCAAGTGGAAGTTTAGGATAAGGGTGGCCGACCCCAAGCAGTTGGGATTAAGGCGAGGAAGAAGAAGATTTATAACGAAGAGCATTTACTCTCTCGATTCTTGTTATACAATAACATTACAAAATTACTCTATAAGAGTTAGAACAATCAATGCTTTATTTGTTAATTATAAAAACTTTGTTAAAAAAATTAATTTATAATAATCAAAGTGTTAAATTTAAAATAAATTAAATAATCTTAAATTTTTTAACTAATATAAAATATTTAAGTTAAAAAAGATTTAGATGATGTTTTTTAATAAAGTTTTAGGGCATTATCATGAACATGTCATTTATATTGCGTAAACATTAATATTGTTGAACGTAGTATAAAATTTAATTAATCAATATCCCAAATTATTAGATAAAACTAGGGTGTACTAAAGGGAGATAAAAAAAGTAGCTTATCACCCTGAAATTACCTCAGTAGACCAAAAAAAAATGTTTGATAAGATAGTCAGCAAAATTGAAATTAAAAAGTCAGTAAGTCGGTCATTTGATATTTTTACCCACTTAAAGTAATGAATTTACTACGCCCCTAGATAAAACATGACTCAAATTTTTTCGAGTTCTATATTTACTTCAATTTAAATTATTACTATTTTTTGAATAATTTACCTGCCCCTGAGTAAAATTGATAAGCGTTCATTGCTGGCAGTGACATCCTCAACAGCGTAACATTGTCCAGGAGTCAATTCCATAATAGATGCTTCACGAGTAAGCTCTCGGAAATGTTTTTGACTAATTTTAAGCGGTTTCAACACTCGTAGATACAGTTCCATCAACTCTGTTGATAATGTTGGAGGCATAAACTTTTTGCATAGCTTGACGGTATACACTCCATTCACCAAGGCCATTAAACAGTACCAAATTAGTGCATCCATGGCACAGACATCCGTGGAAGCCCATATACTTGACAATATAAATCCTAAAAATAGTGAAGCCCTAAAAAAACAAACAATTTTTTTATATAACTCATACATTTTTGTTATATATGCACACCAAGTACCCCTGACCAATAATCAAAACCGTATTCAGAACAGTACATTTTTGCAAAGAAAAAATTAAGGGGTCCCAGAAAAAATGGTCCCCAGTGCATAGGGGTGTCATTTTATATTCGATTTTTGACCGATACACCGATTTTACGAGATTGTTCGCGATTTATTACCCATAATTGAACCACGAATCTAAATTTTTATATTAAAAATCATTTTCAATGAAGGTTTTTTGATTTTTTTTTTT